TCTTTTCCCTTAGCCTTGGAGATTTCTCTCACCTCTTTCACTAACAAATGATTAAAATATGATTTCAACCCTCTAAAACGGATTTAAATTACTAAAGAAATCCAAAACCCACTTTAACCCCCTCACCTAAGGCTCTCCATGGTTAAAACGTGAGGTTTGGATGAAAGCTTGGGATGTTGGGATTTCGTTTTTTACCTTAGAATTTTTGAAATGTGATTGAGATTCTATAAGTTTCCATTTTTGATAATCTAGGAGAATGAGAGATAAGGATTTTTTAAAGAAAGAAAGAAAGAAGAAGAAGAAGAAGACAAGGAGACAAAACTCACCAACGTGACATAACTTAAGCTCTAATTAATGGATTTCAACCTTTAGAAAACTTTAGGGGTAAACCACCATTTTGGTCATTTCATTCTTGGTCAAAGTCTAAATATATCCTTTTTTAAGTCTAGATAGGCTCAAACCCAATTTATGGGAAGCCCAATCTAACCCTAAACACTTAATTGATCTCTTAGTCTACTCTTAAGGTCCAATCAGGTTACTCGAAACTTTGGGGCATTACAATTTCATTTTGATTATCCGTTGGCATGACATTTTTTTTAATGATGATGTGATATTTTCTTATGGTTACGCGTCAACATTACCGTTAATTTTATTAATGGTAGCTAATCAAAATGAAATGAAACTGTAACAATAGGTATGATTTTGGAAAAAAAATAATTTGATAACTAAAATATAATTTCATAAATAGTATGGTGACTAAATACATAATTTATACTAAAATTTATTTATATATATATATATGTAATGTTGTTATAATTAAACTGAAATAATTTGATTAAAATTCTATTATAACACTTATAAGTTAATATGATTAAAGGAAAATTCTAGAATGCACGTCACACATTGATACACATCATTAATTTTGTAGGATAAAGTTTTTAATTGGTCACTAAAATATGATAAATGGGAATCACTCTTCAAGGGTTAAATTATACTTTTGGTCCTCTCATAATTAATCCATATTCAATAATCCTAAAACCATGTGTAGACAATAAAAGCCAAAAACTCCAAGCATTTTGTTCTACCCTTCTCTTGCTCATGCTCATGGTCCAACAATTGTCTTTTACTTCTAAACCAAAGCCATAAAACAATGTTAAGATTCTCCTAACTTGTTTTATTAATTGGCACTACTTGCTCATGCCTACTTACCTAAGCTCTACACTTGGCCTCTTACTATCAGTCCTTTCCCTTTCCCATCCATTTGAACTAAACTTTTAAGGGGGGAAAATAATTAAGCCTCTAAACTTTTTTTATAGCCAATTGAATCCCCAAATCCAAAAATTAATTCAATTAAGTTTTTGAACTAAAAAATTAATCAATTAAATTATTTAATCAATTTTAATTGTCAAGTCTTAATTATTTTATCAAAACATTAGTGTCACATGATGAACAGAAATCCCCTGCCCCTCCCTTGTGCCCCTATCCTTGCCCCTTAGGTTAATTTTCTGACACGTCTCTTTCAATAAATGATCTTATTGTTTGTTTTAATATTAAAGATTTATTGTTTCTACCAACAATCAGTTGGTCTAGTGGATGAAGCACTAGATCCCTTAAGCAAGGTCAGAGGTTCGAATCTTGATGTTTGCAAATGTAGTAAACTGGGTTGAGAGGGTCGCCCTCGCCTCTGTAGTATCCGATCTGGATTAGTCGGTCAATAGATAGATTACCAGTGATTAATTCAAAAAAAACTATTGTTTTTCATTAGTTTTTTATGTTAAGTTACAATTAATATTTCAAAATTTATTTTAATTTTTAATTTAAAAATAAAAAATAACAATGCAAAAAAAATTAAATCAAGTGATTGTAACATTTTAAATATAATATCTTTTTTACGTTGATTTTCTTTTATTTGATATTAGTAATAACAATTATATGTGAATATTTAAGTTTCAATTGTATAAGTATTAAAAATTAAAAATTAAATAAAATATAACGATAATGATTTTTTTAATTTATATGTCGTACATAAGATAAAATAAAATAATTTTTATTACTATAATCACAAAGAATAAAAGTTTTAAGATTTTATTATTCTAATAATAAAAATGATTTTATTGAATTTTATCTTGTATGATCATTTATCGAAATTACTAATCCATTATTTTCTTGTAGTTGTTAGCATCTCTCTTTGGACCCCCTTAGTTTGTCTCCCTCTTTAGCTTCAAAGCACATAAAATATGTTAAAAATAGCAAACCACTCTCTAAATTTTCTCAAATATTCATCTTCATCCCCATGCAATTTATATGGCTTCTAGATGTTTCTTGAGAGGGTTTTAATAAAGGTGGAGTATACAAAGGGTCCTCTGAGCACATGATATTGCTTTATTAAGTCTTTCGACTATTAAAAGTTATAAAATGATCCTCTGACTATATAATGTTACTTTGATAAGTCCCTTAACTATCAAAAATTATAAAATGGTCACCCTACTATTTATTATGTTCCAAACTTGTCCCTTTAAGTTAAAAATTGGCGTTTGTATAAACTGGAAGTTAACATGATAATTGGGATATGATAGTCGTTCGAGATTATGATATCAGATTTTATCATATCACAGTCAACAAGTTAACGTTCAACTCATAATACCGTCAAATCTTTTAACGAAAAAGGTCAAGTTTGAAACATAATGAATAGTCAGGTGACCATTTTGTAACTTTTGATTCTCGAGGGACTAAACAAAATAACACTCTATAGTTGGAGGATCGTTTTATAAGTTTTAATAGCCGAATGACTTAATAAAGAAGTACCCTATAGTCAGGGGACTATTCTTGTACTTTACCCTTTAATAAAATGTGTGATTCATTGTCATTGTATACTCGTATAATGATAATATATTAAGTACTAATATATTGAAGAATTCTAATGATTAAATTCATATTGTATCACATTAAATCTTAATTATTAAGAATAGATCGTTCGAACATGTTTTGTTTTGACTCAATAAAGTTGAATTTAATAAGTTCGGATCGGGTCAAATTTTGTAAAAAAGTAAAACTGGATCGTATTTGGTTTAGGTTAAAAACTTTCCTATCAATTAGTGAAAATAGTATAATTTTCTTTTATATATTTAAGGATAATTGTTAATATTTATCTCTCTATTTTTTATTAGATATTTATTTTATCGAATACAAAATATATATTAATGTTAAGTCGGATGTAAATTTTTACTTTAAAATTCATATTAAGGGTCCGTTTGTTTACCGGAAAACAAATTCCAAAAAACAAATTTCGTAAAATTAATTACATTTCCTGGAAAACGAATTCCGGAAATCATTTTACGTGTTTGGATGACGCATGTAAACCATTTTACACTGGTTAATAAAAAATTTATAAATTATTTATTACAAATATAAAGTACAATAAATAATATTATTTAATAGAAAATAATTAATATAATTAGTTTTAAAATATTAAAATAATGTATACAATATTATTTATTAAAATATTATTTTTATTTTATAAATAAAGTTATTAAGATTATAACATTTTATTAAAATACAAATTTTATAAATTATATTAATTATTTACTAAAATAAAATAAAATAAAATATTAATTATATTAATTATTTCTTAAAATATAATATTATTCAAATATTAAAAATATATTAATAAGAACATTACATCATATTTTAAAAAATATATTTTAATATTTAATAATATTGTTTTATGATATTAATATGTAAAAATAATTTTATTAATAATTTTTAAAATATTATTAAAATGAAATATAATATATATATTATATAGTATAATTTAATATATTAACACTAAAAATATAATATTATGTTATTAAATTTATTGATAAATATATTTTAATAATTAATTTGTTACTAAAATGACACTAAAATAGTATATTAATATTAAATATATAAAATAATATTATTTTGAGTATTTATGCTTTGAAATAAAAAAATTTAGAAAACAACTTATGGAAAATCAATTTGTGAGTCATTTTCTAGAAAATGCAAAGGAAATTCTATTGACCAAAAAATAAATTACGTTTATCATTTGTTTTCCACCAACCAAACACTGAAAAATAAGGAAAACACTTTCTGAATAACCAATCACAGTGAAACAAACACACCCTAAGTTCTTAATCAGATAAATGTTTTTCTAAACTTGAGATGAACCAACTCAAAACTTGATTCAACCTGACCTATCCCTAGAAAATATGTATCCTTAAAAAATAATATCATAATATTTTAGATTCCTTCTAATTTAAATATTTATTGAATAAGATATTAATATTTTCAAATTTCAAATTTATATATTTTGTACTTTATGAAGTAATTTGAGTCCTAAGATTGATTATTGCAACAAGTTAAGACTTCTCTTGTTTATCTATATTATTATTTGCCATTTCCAAGCTTAGATTGGGATTTTTTCCTCATTGTTCCAAGGCTTCGTCTTAGCTAATTTATACCGACTACGTCGCATATTCAATTTTGGTAGGCGAGTCTCTTGGTAGGAATTTTATATATATATAAGAATTCGAATTTGAAACATTACTTAAACGATATCAAGCTGATTACTATTTAAATCAATCTCCGCCGGTTAGGTTAAATTGGGACTTTAATTATTACAACAATCATCACTACATGAACCCGACATGTAGCAGCTAACTTGACCGAAATCCTAACCCCATAAATACAACCAACCTCGTGATTTTGTGTTCAAAAAATGAAGAAAACTTCATCATCCCATGCACAAAAAACACAAGCTCAAGAACTTTGTCTTTCCCAAAAAATCACCATATTCATTCATGGAGGAAAACTTCACTAGAAAAAAAATACTATTTTTTATACCATTTTTTTTTTGCATGCTTAGCTATAAAATAGCCAAAATTACAGCGTCTCGAGACATTAACATCCCCATGCAAGAAGAGTCCAAAACGTAAAAACAAGTAAACAACCGCCAATTTTTACTAGGAAATTGAAAAAGGGTACAGAGAGAGTATCACCGGTCGTGGTTTTCTGGTGTATCGGATTCCGCTGACGAGAGTAAGCAAACAACAATGTCGGCGAAAGCACTGACGATGAACTTATGGGTGTTTTCTGGGTTTAAAGTGAGGTAACAAAGGAGTAGTTCGTGCAAGAACTCCCAGTCCTTGTTCACATCGGTTAAGTTCCTCGCTTCGATCATTTCCAACATCGAGACTTGAAAATCTTTGTACGGGTCCAGGGAGTACTTCTTCACCACAAAGCCTCCATCTACCGCCGTCGGTGTTTTAGTATCGGGTTCGAGCCTTGTATCGGGTGACTCGATGATGGAGTTGGATCGACCTGGCAAAGAGAAGAAGAAACACTGGGAAGCAAATACGGCGGCGAAATCTGGAGCCGAGTCGGATTCGAAGTACTCGATAATGGCGGTGGTGCGAGTGGAAGGTGTCGAAAGGGACTTGTCGGAGGTTTGATAGGTATGGCTCATACGGTACAAGGTTAATTATGTAATTATATACCAGGTTTTTATTATAAATAGAGATGTAACCTAAACCTATGAGACATTGAATAAAATTTCTAGCACCTCCTAGGCACCGATGACGTAAGTACATTGCCGAACCTTGTTAAAATTCTTATGTTCTTTCGTTTACTTTGCCCGATTTTTCAACAATTGGTATCAGATGTCAGGAGCAAAATTTGAAGTTACGATATTTGATGGTCAAGGTAACTTCGGATTATGGCAAACGAGGGTGAATGATCTGTTGGTGCAGCAGGGGATCCTGAAGGCTTTGCGACCTACAAAGCTGGCGTCGATGGAGGAGGAAGATTGGGAAGAATTGCAGCAGCGAGCGGCAGGAACCATACGATTATGTTTGGCAGACGAGGTCATGTATCACGCCATGCATTTTTCGTCTCCAGATAAAATTTGGAAGAAGTTGGAAAGTCAGTTTATGTCCAAATCCTTAACGACAAAACTGTACCTAAAGCAGCGGCTGTATAGACTGAAGATGCAGGACGATAATGATTTGGCGCAACACGTGAATGTCTTCAATCAAATCGTTTCTGATTTGGCTCGGCTTGATGTGAAAATTAAGGATAAAGACAAAACGATGATTCTGTTGTATTCGTTGCCTCCCTCTTACGAACACATGGTGACTATTCTTACATATGGGAAAGAGACTATCAACGTTGAGGAGAATACTGCAGCCTTGTTGGCTCACAACTAGCAGAAGTAGAATGCAGGGGAAAACTCTTAAGCCGATAATTTATATGTCAAGGGTAATCGAGACCGTGGACGGAAGCCAGAGAAGGCAGGGTCTGGCAAGCGGAATTCCAGATCCAAATATAGGGATAAGAAGACAATTCACTGTTACAAGTGCAAGGAGGCGGGACATATGAAGCGAGATTGTTCGAAGTTGAAAAAGTATAGTGATGAGAAGTGTGATGTTTCATCCAAGTCTGTGAGCGTGGTCGAGGATGACAATTCTTATTACAGTGAGGGTGATATGCTTTCTATTTCAACGACTCAATTGACAGATGCGTGAATTATTGATTCTGGATGTTTTTATCACATCACGCCAAATAGGGAATGGTTTTCGACATACAGGTCGATTAATTACGGTTCTGTTTATTTGAGTGATGATCGATGTTGCAATATAGTCAGTATTGGTGAGGTCAGAATTAAGATGTATGATGACTTTGTTCGGACGTTGAGTGATGTTCGACATATCCCAGATTTGAATAAGAATTTGATTTCTTTGGGCACTTTGCACAAGAATGGTTTTATCCCTAAGGCTGATGAAGATAGGGAAACCATTCGGATTGATAAAGGAGCTTTGACTGTGATGAAAGGAAAGATGACTGCAGGGAATATTTACAGATTGTTAGGGAGTATCGTTGTAGGTAGAGTTCATTCTGTTGAGTCTTGTGATGATACTACCAAACTGTGGCATATGCATCTTGCTCATCTTAGTGAACGTGGTATGGCTGAATTACATAAAAGAAATTTGTTGCATGTTGTTAAAAGTTATAAGCTTGATTTTTGCAAGTATTGTGTTCTTGGTAAATAGACTAAAGTTCGTTTTAAGATTGTGAAGCACAAAACTGAATGGATTCTTGATTATGTGCATTCTGATGTACGGGGGCCTTCCACGACATCGTCTTTGGGTGGATCTAGGTATTATGTTACTTTCATTGACGATTTTTCACGGAAAGTTTGGGTGTATTTTTTTAAACAGAAGTTCGACGTTTTTAGAAGTTCAAGCTGTGGAAAGCTGAGGTAGAAAACCAAACATGACGAAAAATCAAGTGTTTGTGGTCTGACAATGATACGGAGTACACATATACACAGTTTCTAAACTTCTGTAAGGAGCATGAGATTAAGAGACATTTTACAGTGCGCAAGACACCACAACAGAATGATATTGCGGAACGGATGAACAGGTCGTTGAATGAAATAGCCAGATATTTGCGGTTGAATGCGGGGCTTCCCAAACACTTTTGGGCCGAGGCTGTTAACATGGCGTGTTATCTTATCAATAGATCACCAAGGGCATCATTGGCTGGGGAAGTTGCAGAAGAGGTATGGACTGGTCATGAAGTTAGTTTTGATAACTTACAGATTTTTGGTTGTCCTGCTTATGTGCATGTACCTGTTGATGAGAGATCCAAACTTGATACAAAATCGAAGGAGTGCATTTTTCTGGGTTACAAGAAAGGTGTCAAAGGATTCAAGTTCTGAGATCCAGTTGCGAAGAAAATTGTGATCAGTAAAGATGTTGTTTTTATGAACAATCCATGTTGCAGCAGAAGAAAGACACGACAGTGGTGGATTTTGAGCAGTTTCCAGTTGATAAACCAAAAACTTCTCAACCAACTCCTGGTGGTTCCGCTACGGATGATTTGCAAGATTATAGTCTCGCCAGAGACAGGGTGAGACGGACGAATATAAAGCCCCCGAGCAGATTGGGTTTTAAAGACTTGGTCTTTTTTGTACTTACTGTTAGCAGTGATGATCCGGTTACTTTTCATGATGCCGTTACTAGTCAGGAAAACGACAAGTGGATGGCTGCCATGGTTGGGGAGATGGAGTCTTTGAATCACAATCATACATGAGAGTTAGTTCCCCTTCCTGAGGGTAAGAAACCGATTGGTTGCAAATGGGTGTATAAGAAGAAACCAGCAGTAACAGAAAAAGATGGGGAGAAGTTCAAGGCTCGCTTGGTAGCAAAGGGTTTTTTCACAGAAGAAAGGAGTTGATTATGATGAAATCTTTTCTCCTGTGGTCAGTCACACTTTAATCCGAGCAGTACTTGCATTGGTGGCTAGTTGGGATTTGCATTTAGAGCAGATGTATGTTAAAACTATTTTTTTGCATGGTGATTATAGGAGCAGATCTACATGCGACAACTTGAAGGTTTCACTCAACTTGGAAAACGAGCATTTAGTTTGCAGATTGAAGAAATTTTTGTACGGGTTAAAACAGTCTCCGAGACAGTGGTATAAACGGTTTGACTCCTATATGATCAAGATTGGCTACAACCGATGTGAGTATGATTGTTGTGTCTATGTTAAGAGCCTTGATGATAGTTCTTTTATTTTTCTGTTATTGTATGTTGATGATATGTTGATTGCTGCGAAGAACATGGATGATGTTATTGGTTTGAAAACCTTATTGAGTCAGGAATTTGATATGAAAGATTTAGGTGCTGCAAAGAAAATTCTTGGAATGAAAATTTACAAGGACAGAGACTAAAGGAAACTGTGGTTATCTCAACGGGGTTATCTTGAGAAAATGCTAGAAAGGTTTGCGATGAGCAGCACAAAACCAGTTAGCACTCCATTGGCAAATCACTTTAAGCTCTCATCATAACAGTGTCCAAAGACAAATAAGAAAGCTGAATATATGACAAAGGGTCCGTATTCTAATGCTGTTGGCTGCTTGATGTATACAATGTTATGTACTCGTCCTGATTTAGCTCATGTTGTTAGTCAAGTTTGTAAGTACATGTCTAAACCTGGTAAGCAACATTGGGAATCAGTCAAGTTGATCTTTCGGTACTTAAAGGGTACTGTAGGACATGAAATTATTTTTGGTAGTCAGCGTGATAATCCTTTGGTTGTAGGATATGTGGATTCGAATTATGCAAGTGACTTGGATAATAGAAGATCTACTACAGGGTATGTGTTTACTCTTGGTGGAGGGCCTATTTGTTGGAAGTCTACTGTTCAATCTGTTGTGGCACTATCTACAACTGAAGTTGAATACATGGCAGCGGCTGAAGCTGCAAAAGAAGCTTTATGGCTTACTGGTTTAGTGAAGGAGTTGGGTGTTCAGCAAGGTGGAGTTCAGTTGCTTTGTGACAATCAAAGTGTTATTCACTTGACTAAGAATCAGGTGTATCGTGCTAGAACTAAACATATTGATGTAAGGTTCCACAAGATCAGATAGTTGGTTGCATTTGGAGAGGTTTTGTTTTAGAAGGTACATACTGATGAGAATGCCACTGATATGTTCACCAAGCCAGTTACGACAGACAAGTTCAAGCATTGCTTGTACTTGTTGAATGTTTTGAGTTGTTAAAGAAGTAAGGTAACCCAACCCACATTGAAGTTTCCAAGGAGCAGGATATTCGCCAAGGTGGAGATTTGATAGGTATGGCTCATAAATATACCAGTAAAGGTACGGTACAAGGTTAATTATGTAATTATATACCAGGTTTTTATTATAAATAGAGATGTAACCTAAACCTATGAGACATTAAATAAAATTTCTAGCGCCGCCTAGGCACCGAGGACGTAAGCACATTGCCGAACCTCGTTAAAATTCTTGTGTTATTTCGTTTACTTTGCCCGATTCTTCAACAAGGTTGAAGACGATGATGAAGAAGAAAGTTCACAACGTTGGTTGAAGTTCTTGAACGCATCCACTAATTCATCCATTGATTCAAGGTTCGTGAAGCAGAGAGGGAAGAATTTCGAGAACATATTCGACATTTTTTCGTAATCTAAGAAAGAAAGATTGTTGAAGATGATCGAAGAAAAAGAAGAAACCCAGAAACTGAAAGAGAAGATGATGGTGGCAGTGTGGGGTTTTAATGGCTAAAGAGAGATCAACAAAGATTTTCTTTTGGGTGTTACTATTAAGCTTACATGATGCTAACAAATGGTCCATGCACAATGTTGTGTTTGTATATAGTGAAAAAAATTAAATTGCTTTTAATTTTTATATATTGATTTCGTATCTTATTTTTATAAAAATTATTATTGTATCGATCGTCGTTTCGTCCATCATCATTGACGGCTAATGAAACCTACATCTTTTTCTTTAAACCCGTTTTATCTTCATGGCCGTAAATTCGATATTTGTTAACCAGAAACTTTATTAACTTTATGAATCTAACGTTGAATATTTCAATTTTTTTATTCTTTAATCTTCATAGATAAAACCTAAATAGAAATATGTTGCTCATCGTCTTATAATAAGGATGATAAAAATTCGATCAATAGAGATAACAAAATTATTAAAAGATAAACATATGACATTCACGTCAATAAAAATAATTTATATTAATAAAACAAAAATTATCATATCATCGTATTGAGGGATGAAATTGAAGAATCCATTGTAAAAAATTTGATCTTACAACACATTATTACAAAGAACAAATTTACAAGGGTATAAAGGTCATTTACATTCATCGTCCCTGTTAAAATCCTCTTCCCTGTAACAGATCCGAGGCAAGAGCTATAGCTGTTGTTTTAGGGTTTACGGATCAGGTATTGTAACAATCAAAGCCTTTTTTCCCTTTTAGTTACCCTACATTTCTCACTGTTAAAAGATTAACACTTTTAGTTTTGACTTCTCAGTGAGAATTTAAAGATCAAAACTTTAATCTTTTTTTAACCTATTGGGGTGCCTTGTTTTTCTCAGGCCAAGCTGGGATTTCTCTTCTAATGGCGTCAATTCCAACTCCTCCTCATACTGATGATAACCCGTCTGACGTGAGTAGTCCACACATAGATATCCACCAAGATCTCTTTCCGGAGTAAGTTCGTTTAGCTTCGTTCCTTCTTCATTTCTTCATTTTCATTGTTTTTATTTGCTTAATCTCTTACTTATTTGCTATTGGGATGAGTTTGATGTGATGATAATCATGAGAATTTGGGTTTTTTTTGGAAAGTTAACTGTGTTGGAAAATAGAAGTTCTTGTATAGAATCTAGCAAATTTCTGTTTCAAATAGTTTGCATCCAATAGGTTGAAGGTTGGTTACCCGAAATCGAAGAATTTTCAGTTTAGGGATGTCAAATTTCTTTGCTCTGATAATTTTCTGGAAATCCCTAGGTTAACATGGCTTTTTTTTGTTGACATTTTAGGGTTTTGTTGGTTTCATCATTTGTTTGTTTTGGTTCTGTAACTTTGATGTAGAGGACTGCATATGAATCTAACCCTATCTTTAACAATGTAAAAGCTAGCTGGAATTGGATCGTTTATAGTAATTAGCTACCGGCGAAATCTTATATTCCGAACCCGGGGATACATCATTCACGTTCAAAATGGTCAAATATTGAACAATGTTCTTCTAGTTGTTCTGGTGTATTCGTCGATTAGTGAGTATAGCAGCGTGTGGCTCCGATTCTTTATTTTTCCTGGAATACCTGTGTCCGTGCGTATACTTTAGGTATGGAATATGACCCTCCCAATACATGGAAATTGAACTTACCGCTGTCAGAACCAAGTCCGAGTAACATTAGTTTCCAGTTGGATGTATGATTTTTAAAGTAGTTTAGAAGACTTACCTTCTTAAGTTAAATGTGCTTAATCATGTTTTCTTAAATGCAAATTTATCCCAATTGCAGTTACTATGGTGGAACAGCTTCTGCTCCATCTGCACCAAAAGATGAATTTCTGGGAAATGATATCGATAATGGAAGTGACAAAGATATTCCGGGGAATGATGTTGATAATGGAAGTAACAAAGACGAATTTCCGGTAACTGATATCCAAAATGGAAGTAACGATTGTCCTCCTGTAATTGAAGAGAATATTTTCCCTGCATCTGCACCACTTCCACTTGATAATATCCCTGAACCAGCACCAGTTCCACCTGGCAGTAGCGGGGAAGGTTTACCTTATGCTCCTGCACATTGGCCGAATGCTGGCGATATTTGGACCTGGAGAGTGGGTAAGAGAGTGAGTGCTTCTGGCTTCTTCAACGATAGATTTCTCAGTGTTCCAGAAAGCCTTAAAAAGGCAAATGTTCCAAAAGTCTTTACAAGCAAGCCGGTGCTTGAACGTTTTATCCGATCAAATTTCCCGGATGCAGATATTGACGCGTTCTTTGCTTCATTTGTTTGGAAGATCCCTGCCATTGTGGAACCTTCTACCAAAGGTTTGCTTAAAAACATATATGTGTTATGTTATGTTTGTTGCTGTTTTTTTTGTCATTTTGTGAGAAATTTTGGTTTCCGACTTCTTTTTTTCGTGGGAAGTTAGAATGCATATATATACTGATGAAAAATGAGACTGCATTAATTATAATTATAAATGAAATCATGATTTAATCGACATTTCAACTGGAACTTTCATTGCGCTACCACTTGTTATAACAATCTTCATTAAGTACTTACTTTTCGACAATTAATTTTCATCCTCAATTTGGATTATATGTTGGCATTAATTAAATTTTCAGTGATCTTTGGGCACAAACTTGAAGGTGAGAGATCCATTTTGTTGCTTACCTATTGAGTAATTGTATGCCTGTACAATTTATTATCATTCTGTTCAAGAAAGATTTTTTTTATTGCTAAAGAAATTGTTCTTGCTGAACATTTTTTTATGTATTTAGTATGTAATTTTAGTTGGTGTGATTGATATTAGCCAATAATTTAGCCTTATGTTATTCCTTCTCTTTATTTTTCTTGAAGTACCCATATCCGATTAATATCGAGACATAGATGGAAAACTTAGAAAAGAATTATACCTTATTGGGCACATCCTTATCCGACATTCACGCCCAAGTTCGAGTTACATAGATTTTAGCCATCTCACCAAGTATGTTAGTTAAATGTTGTTGATTGCTGGCCTTACCTATCTACAAATTAAGAATTAATTGATTTCATACTGCTACTGCTGGTTGACCTTTTGGATTCTTTTATTCTCATATTATGTCTGCTTTGATGAACTGAACATGGTCTAAAATTCATGGCAATAACAGTTACCTGGGAGTTCCCTAAGAGGTCTTTTTATTGGCTTCCATAATGGTGTAATAGCACTAGAAAAGCCCTACCGAGTTCTAAGAGGAGTGTCTAGCTTTGTTCTGGTTAGGCTGTCAATGATGTGCCTGCTCGGACTAGTAATTTTTCTATTGTTTTCTGCTTGAGGAAGTGAACCTATATTCCCTGTAGACCGACCTTTCTCTCAGGCTTTCTGTCATTTAAGGCATAGTGTTGCGGTGGATGTATGAAGTTTCTCTCTGAACCACATAAATCCGATGTTCTTTTGTGTTGCTTTGTTTTTGTTTTTTCCCCTATTTTCTTACAGTTTCTCTTACGTTTGATCTTGTTCCTTAGATTAAGGGTTTGTTTCCCAACAAAGTTGACATGATGTAATAGGCTTAATCCAGTGTTCTTGTGTGTTGCTTTGTTCTATATTTTCTTACGGTCTCATCGGCTTCCTCGTTTAATTTTGTTCATTAAACTAAAGTTTCGTTTCACAGAAAAGTCTGCATGATGTAAATCAGGCTTCAGACACTTTTTCAGAAAGAATCGATAAACATTTCATCGTGTCAAGTTCAGATGAAGTGCAGTTATCCAAGTCGATTCATTGTCTTTCGTTCTTGTTTCATCCAGGGATATGGAAATCGTTGATATAGTTGTCCATGTTCATTTTCTCTTGATTACTCGACTAATTTATTTTTTCGTGATGAATGTCAGCTGTCACACCTTCAGCCACAGCAGAGGAAGTGGAAGATGACAAAAAGAAACCGACAAAATAACTCCTCGTAGAACCAATAGGAAGAGGGCTCCTCCCCCTTCTCCATTCATTGCTCCGACTCCGACTCCCAGTGACAATCAGAAAAAGCAGAAGACACCTAAAGGATCAGCCAAATCTAAAGGATCAACCAAACCTGAAGGATCAGACAAATCTAAAGGATCAACAAAACCTGAAGGATCAGCCAAACCTAAGCGACAAACTCGCCAGAGCCTTAAAGATTCCTCCCCACCTGAAGTTGAAATTCAAGCTGAAAATGATGGTCTTGATGATGTGTCTTTCTTGGACGATGAAGCGGGAAGAGGTTGGAATTCGGAATATTTACATTTTCCTGAAAATGGTGTCTTGCTCATTTATTTTGTTTGCCTTTTGAAATGGTTGCAGCGGAGTTCGACAACTACCTCAATTCTTTAGATGAAATTCTTGTTCCGACTAAGCCATCATCTGAAGAAACAGCTTCCCAGCAGGCAGAGACGCATGACATCGTTGCAGCAGAAGATGAAATGGCTGAAGCTCGAAGGAAACTATCTTCACTTCTCGACATGGATTTCCCTTCATTGATTTGCTTCAAAGACCTCGACGAACTCGCCAGTCTAGCATCCAAACTCCGGAAGGATCCCACCCTTACCGCGGAACAGCTCGTCAAACTGAAGTTAATTCAAGAGATCCCAACATTTTGCGAGGTGTTTCTCGAGAACCGGGGAGTAATGGAGCAGGCAGACAAGTTCTTTACTGCCCTCGAAGACAACAAGGCCAAGGTCAATTCACTGAAACAAGAATACAGCAAGTTAAAACAAGAAGTAACAGATGCACAATCCGAGATGGATTCCAGCGCAGCGGCCGTGCAAGATATCGACAACAAGATAGCAGAACTCAAAGCCCAACGGACCGAGCTAACAAAACTGATAGATAAGAAGAAGAGAGCCAAGGATGAATTGATATATAACCAGAAGCTGGTAGCGAACTCGATTCCGAAAGTCGTACATGAAGTTCAGACCGCCAACACCAAAAGAACGGAATGGGAGCTGAAGAAGGAAAACGGAGCACGGCGCGAGGCCGAAATACTTGCCAAATTTGCTCCTCTGAAAGGGTTTTCCCTCTGAACAGAAGTAGCCGAGGAGAAACATATTGTAGTGCTTTGCTTTTGAGGATTATGCTACTCTAAATAGCTTTTAGCAATTGTAACCCTGTGTGATGAAACTTAACCCACGCCATCAATTACTGTGTTGTTTGTACTTCAACTTCATTATAATCAGTTCCTGTAAACCTGTTATAATTTGAATTTGGGGTTGAAATCTTAGCGTTTTCAAATGGAACAATTTGGGTTGAGAGAGTCGTCTTCGTTTCTGTAGTACTCGATCTAAGATTAATCGGTCAATAGATCGGATATGGTTAATTCAAAAAAATAATTTAATTAAAATTTAACCTAAATTTGGACATCATTTCCTAATTGTATGAAAATATAATTATTAAAATAATGATTATATTATATTTTTAAGAATTTTAATTATTATAAATCTCTATTTTGGTAATTTTAAATTTAAGAATAATTATTAATTATAAATTAAAGAGGAATAATATTATTTTTAAAAAACCAGAACTTTAATTATTAAACTAATTGTATAAATGCATTTCTTTAAAAATAGTATTACATTCAACATTAAATTGTAATAACTTTATGCAAAAATCGATTAACTGCACATAAAAGACCTCTAAGTCGCTGATCTGGTATCGTACATATGTCAGCTTGTAATTGCAGAAATGAAACATCTCAAAAGATGAAATTTTTCCTTGCTTTGATCTTTGGGGTGCTCTTTTTTCGCAGGTCAAACTGAGAAATTTGCCCTAATGATGCCGATTCCTTCTCCGTCTCATATGGGTACTTTCGCTAGTACCGAGAACCCTAATGACTTGGGGATTCCAAACATAGATATCCATCAAGAACTCTTCCCAGAGTAAGTATTTTTTTAGCTTAATTTCTTCACCCAATTGTTGGTTCAGTGCTTCTATTTGCTCGATTTCTTACATATTTTGCTGTTGGATGAGTTCAATCCGATAATGATGGAGTGAAGAAGAAAACTGTTAAAACATGCGAAAAGACAAGCGAGTATGTATGTAATAAACAGTGTTCTTCTAGTTGTTCAGGTGTATGTTTCTCAGGCTTTTCATTTTTCTAGGAGTAGCCGTGTCCTGTACACTTTTTGACATGCATGTTCTGATATGGGTGTCGAATATAACCCTCAAAATACACCGAAATTGAACATACCGGGGTCGAAACTGAGTAACATTAGTAGCTTCTTCATGTTTTCATATGGATTTTAAAGTTGTTTAGAAGATGTAGCTTTGTATGTTAAATGCGGTTGATTGTGTTTGTTGATTGAAATTATGTCTCAATTGCAGTTATTTTGGTGGACCAGCTTCCCCTCCCTGTGAGCCGGAACAAAAATTTCCGGGAAATGATATCTATAATGGAGGTAACCATTGTGCTCCTGTAACTAATGAAAATAATTCCCTTCCACGAGTTCCGCCCGGTAGTAGTGGAGAAGGATTACCTTATGCACCTATAAATTGGCCAAATGTTGGTGATATTTGGAGCTGGAGAGTAGGAAGAAAGGTCAACAGTTATAGCTTCTACAGTGACAGATTTCTCATGGTTCCAAAAAGTCTTCGAAAACCAAATATTCCAAAAGTCTTTTCGAGCAAGCCATCACTTGAACGTTTTCTCCGGTCAAATTTCCCAGATACAGATGTTAATGCGTTCTTTGCATCATTTGTTTGGAAGATTCCTGCCGTTGTGTCGCTGCCATATGCATCTTGTGAGGAAATTTGATTTCTAACCCTTCTTTTTCTTTTCTCTTTTTTGGTAGGAAGAAATTTTGAATGCATATTGATTATATATATTATTATCTAATTATGGAACATTTGAGGGGTATTGGGATCGAACGAGTCAAATCTTCCATCCTTTGCATTTCCTTATAAATTGGTTGCGGAACTTGTTATAGCATTTTATGCTTCTTCAAAGTTCAATCCTCTTTTATCCGTCTTATATGACCAATTGGCTGTAATTACTAAAGCATTCGGATACTGGTTGTAGTTACATTCGATTGATGTCCTTAAAGGAACTTCTACGTGCACACACTTTTGAATGATATAGAACTTATAATTTAGGGTATAACACCATGATGGTGGTTGGCATTGCTTTATTTTGTTTCATCTGGAAATTGTCTCATAGTATATTTAAATGAAATCGTGACTTTATCGGCTGCTTGCCCTTTTAGGCACAAACTTGAATGTGAGAGGTCTGTTTTCTGCTTACATTGTGATTAACTGTATGCCTATACAATTTATAATGATTCTGTTCAAGAAAGAAATTTTGTTTTTATTGCTTCTGAAATTGTTGTTGCTAAACTATGTTGATATATTTAGAATGGTACTTTAGTCGGTGACATGGATTCAATCATTTATAGCCCTACGTTACTCTGTATCTTCAATCCATTTCCAACCTATATCTTGACGTACATGGAAAACTTAGAAAAAATGAATATACCCGTGTTGGACACGAATCTATATCCAACACTTGCACCCAAGTTCAAGTTACATATAGATTAAGCCGTCCTCGTCAAATTTGCTTGTCAAAGGTCATTGATTGCAGGCCTCAAAGACCTACGAACCGAGAATTAATCTGTTTCTTATTGCTACTACCGGTTGAACTTATAGGCTTCTTTTATCTCGTGTTATGTCTGCATTGATGAACTAAATATTATGTCAAAATTTCATGGCAATGAGAATCACCTTAGCATTTTCCAAAGGGAGGTTTTTTCTATTGGCCTGCCGTAACACTTTAGTAGCTCCGCAAAAGCCCTACCTGAATTCTAAGATTGGTGTCTAGCTATGTGCCAGTTAGGCTGTCAAAGTAAGTGCCTGCTCGGATAAGGATAGTTTTGTGTCACGCTGTGTGCGAGGATTTGGCATAGTCCTTGTCAAATTAAGATAAGGGTTTATTTGTACTTCTTTTAATTACCTGAGTTGTCCTTGTTTATCTCTTGGTTTGCCATTTTCAAATTATATCTTGTGTAACGCTTTCGTTTATAGTGAAAGGCATAGTAGTGTGGCCATGGACGTAAGAACGTTTTAGCAGAACTATTTTCTTAGGTCTATTTTGCTTCTGCATTTAATCTTGTTAATTTAGACTAAATTTCTTTCCCAACTAAGTTGACTTGATGTAATGCACGCTTGAATACCTTCTTTCAGAAAGAATCCGCAAACATTTCATTCGTGCTAAGTTACATGATGTTCGTTTTCTCTCAATAACTTAACGAAAATGCTTCTTTTCATTTTATGTGATGAATGCCAGCTCCCACACCTTCTGTACCAGCACAAGGAATGGTAGATGATAAAAAACAAATTAACAAAATGACTCCCCATGCAACCGAAAGGAAGAGGGCTCCCCACACTTCCCCGTTAAGTACTCAGAGTTCCAGCGACGGTAAAAAGATGCAGAAGACAACTAAAGGATTTGCGGGACCTAAGCAACAGACTCACCAGCAACTTAAAGATTCCGCCCCACTCCCATCCGAAATTCAAGATACAAATGACGGTCTTGACGTGTCTTTCTTAGACAATGAAATGGGAAGAGGTTAGAATTTGTAATGTTTACATCTTTTCGAAAATGGTGTTTTGTTTCTTCCTTTCATTTGCCTTTTGAAATGGTTGCAGCGGAGTTTGACAACTACCTCAATTCTTTGGACGAGATTCTTGTTCAACCTTGGTTTCAAGAACCATTTTACCACCCGGCAACAATGCACAACTTCTTTGCAGCAGAAGCCGAAATGGCTGAAGCTCGAAGGAAACTATCGTCGTTTCTTAATATGGATTTTCCTTCACTGATTTGCTTCAAAGATGTTGACGAACTCGCAAGTCTTGCGTCCAAACTCCAGAAAGATCCTACCCTTACTGCTGAACAACTCGTAAAGCTGAAGTTAATAGAAGAGATTCCAACATTCTGCATCGTGTTCCTCGAGAATAGGGAAGTAATGGAGCAGGCAGACCAGTTCTTTAGAACCCTTAAGGAAAACAAGGCCAAGGTTGCCTCACTGAAACAAGAATATTGTGAGATAAAACAAGTAGTAACAAATCTGCAGTCAGAGGTAGATTCCACCACGATGGCCGTGCAAAACATCGATGATCAGATAGCACAACTTGAAGCTCGTCGTGCCGAGGTCACAAAGATGATAGATAAGAAGAAGAGAGACAAGGATGAATTGATTCACAACCAAAAGTTGGTGGCAAATTCGATCCCAAAGTTGTACATGAAGTTCAGCTCGCGAACGCCAGAAAACCAGAATGGGAGCTAAAGAAGGAAAGCGGAGTAAGGCGTGAGGCCGAAATACTTGCTAGATTTGCTCCCCTAAAAGGATTTTCCCTTTGAAAAACAATAATGTCATTGTCTGCTAAGGTTGTTATGATTATGAAACTGTTATTTTGCTGTGCTTTATCAATGGGGGAGTGTGGAACTCAAATTGAGACAATCATTTAGTGTTTGTATTTTAACTTTGGTATTAGTATAATGTTATCATGAACTTATTATAATCTGTATTTGGCCTTTATATACTTTGTATCATTCGACTCCTTATACTAAATTCGATCAGAATTATGTTAAATATCGGTCAAACACGGATGTCGAATACAAATATGCAAACTATGTCTATCACCCTGGTCCTAGTCCTCCGGTTCACCCCCATCGGACCTCCAGGGGTTGGGGACCTAAAGGATGGGTGCTTCAACAATAACCAAACCAGCATGGCCACTAGCCCCACAAAGATACTCTGAATAATTGAAACTGACCTTTCAGCGGAGGCTAGAGAGATGAAGTTTATGTCACCTTGGGAAGAAGAAGACATGCATTATATGACCCGTTTTCGGAATATATCACAGTTGATTAAGATGAGTACAGGTTTGGTAACTGGTGATGTAGAGCATTGATGGTGAAACTGGGTTTAAACATCATCTTTGCCTTGGTATGAACAATGTGAAGTAGATAAATGGCAAGCAAAAAGGAGAAAAAATGTCACAATTGTCTTTTCACAATTGTCTTTTTGGATCAATGAATTGATAACCAAAAAGATATCAACAAAAAGACTCATCATAATATGAAAAGAACGAATGCATGCATGTATGAAGGAATAAAAGACCATGTGGACCAAGAGCATAGATTCTTTACCACAAAGTAAGAAAGGGAACTGATTCTCAACATCAGCACCCTAAAATTTAGTCGATACTAACCGTGTTTCTGGTTGAGTTTCAACCAATGGTGTAATCAAATGCAGGCTCATATAAGACCACGAATCTCTAAGACAAAGACGGAAACCAATCATTTAGGTAATCACTATCTTGAAATGCACATGAAGTAAACAAAAAAATGCTCAAAACACTGATATCAAGTATGCCGCTCGGCGTACCTCACAGTCCGTACCTAAAGGAGGCCTTTCATGGCTTCCCACATGCCTAAATATTGGATGAGAAATGAAAAGAACTCAACTTCAATGAAGCACATATCTCGATCAGCCTGCCAAAACTCATTTCCATGGAAACTAAAACAAAAACTAGCAAAAGAACACCCATGACAATGACCAATTATCGCATAGTTGAGAATGAATGCAAAGCATGTACTTTTCCATGAACATGAAACAAAATGCACCATAAGCAGCCTTGATACACACAAACATAGCATAAAAACAACAACAAAAATGCCAAACAATAATAGTCATCATACCAATCATTCAGAGAAGAACAATTCTTGATTTGATTAAGTAATAATAAAAGGTAACCATACAAATAAGGACTAAGCTCCACCATGATCTTCAAAAGCTAAAAAGAAAACAACATGCAATTGAAAAAAAAAACTGAGCAAATGATTCCATTGTTATTACTTACTGTACAAGAACAAGCCTATTATTATTGCTATTACCATTTCCCATGCCTCCCCTAAACTCCCATTCCCTTCACCCCACCGCCTCCTTCCTCCACATTCTCCACTTCCCTCCCTTCGGCACCGTCACAATCAGCTCACCGTCCTCGTAAACTGCACTGGCCAGCTCCGGCTAGTCGTCTCCGGCAACCTGAACCGCCACATGTCGAGCTCCAAATCATCCAGAAAACCAAAACCCATCAAGCTGTTGGACCTTATCACAATCTTAGTGACCCCGGGATGGATTTCCACAGTATGAGCACGGACGACTTCGCCGATCCTCCCGTCGGTCTCGGCGACGAACTTGAAGCAATCGGGGCTCTCCTCCACCGCCACATCGGCATCGGACCTGAAAGGCAGCTCGAGAACGCGGCTGAAGATGTGGGGCAGCCTACGGAGCTTCTTGTTAGACCCACCACCGTTCAACAGGGACTCGGCTTGGGACCTCGCGATTCTCGAGTTCATCTCATATTGGATGGTGATGTTCCTCTTCTTCGGCGACGGGTGGATTCTCATGGTGCTGTTCTAGGGAATTCGACAAAGATTTGACCTTCTTCTGGAGGTGAATCGTGAAGAAGAAGAAGAAGCAAAGGAGGAAGCTAAGAACAATATTAACAGTAACAACAACAACGACAAAGATGCTTTCTTGGAGAAAAGTGAAGGAATTCGGAAAGGAATCAAAACCCTGATCAAGTCATGGAGTGGAAAAGGTGAAATCATAAAAAGCAATGGTCTTTATTCTTCAAAATTTTTTTGGAAAGATGATAAAAACCCTCAAATGGGTCATTGGAGAGAACTGAGATACAAGGAAAGATTGTGAGAAAATTTTGTTCTTCGAGATTGAGTGTTGAAAAGGGTAACTCGATTTCGGGTTAATTGGATTCCTTTTCTGCAAGAACTGGGAAAATAATACTTCGAAGAACTCGGAAATCTGGCTTTTTATTTAAGGATTTGCAGGGAAACCAAGAGCCCTTGCATAAATTATAGGCGGAAAATAGAATACAAGGATACTAGGTTTTCGTTAAAGGTCCTTTAATTCTCTGAAATTTACAAATCAATCCGCATCCATTTATTTCCTTTGTAATTAATATTTAATACTAAGAATTATATTTTATTGTTATATTAATTGAAATTGAAATTTATTTAACACCACTTGACTTGTCACTGGGGATAGTTATATTTGGGATTGGGACTTGGGAGGAGTTTTTGATTCATCTTAATCTTAAATTTAGGAAAAAAATATTTAATCTAAAATATAATTTATTTTTTAGAATAAATTGGAATCTAATTGAAAAAATAAATATATATATTATAATAATTATCTCTAAATATAAAAGATATTCATGTTATTTTTCTAGAATCTGGCAAGCTTTTTACCCTAATATTGAATTTGACTCGATCTTTTCTGTAAAAAGATAATTCAAGTTTTATTCTTTTAAAATAAAAATTCAATCTTTATAAAATTATATATAAGTTTCGTGTCAAATGTCGATCGATATCAATTAATCATATGATAATTTAAAAATGTATATCCAGATATTATTTTTTTATGTTATACATTTTTCAAAAAAATTATCTCCTTAAAATTATATTCGAAATAAAATATCAACAAGTGTGGTGTTTAGTTCGGATTAATTATAAAATATATTACAATTTTAGTATTTAAATTATTATTTTTGTTTCGTTTTGATGCCCAAATTATACTTTTTGTTTTGTTTGGGTGTCCAAATTCCGTACTTGGTAGAAGGATTCATAAACTTTTGCAAACAAGGACAGGGGATGAAGGTGCTATGGCCCTTCCAAGAAATGGGATGAGATATGGTTTCATTATAAACCATAATAAAATAAAACAAAACATTTTTTAGCGAAACCGATTCGAGTTGTTTTCTCATTAACGGTATTATAAAATAAAATAAAACTTTATCTTCTCTCCTATTTCACTCCATGTGTTTTAATTTTTTTTCAATTTCCTCACTGAACTTAATATATTGAGTTTTTTGGTCACTCGGTTGTTTTCTCACTAACGGTGTTATAAATGAGTTTTTATATAGATGTAAAATGACGTTGTTTCGATAAAAAAATATTTTTTTGGAACGACATCATTTTAATACCGTTAATTATTTAAAATATCAATGAATAATAACAATTCTTTTATTACTTCGAATGCCCCTTGAAAAAAATTGAAGGGATTGTAAAAGGTGATTACTTTTGGGTTGAATCAATCTAGATAGTACTAAATTTTAGATTTTATTTAAAAACGGGCCATGATGTTACCCTTTAAGTGATGTTCTGGGCATTTGGTTCAAATCTGTAATCCATTAAATAAGGGTAAACTATAAATTTAGTATCTAAACTATCGGTTTTAGTTTGTTTTAGTATCTAAATTATAATTTTTTTAAAATCATACCTAACGTTTAGTTTTCATTTCATTTTAGTATCCCGCGGTTGAAAATTTAACGCATTTAGTACCTAAACTTTTAATTTTTTCAAAACCTAACATTAAATTTTGAACAAAATTAAACAAAAACTAAAGTTTTAAATGGTGGGGGTACTAAAACGAAACAAAAACTAAACTTAAGGTATGATTCTGAAAAAATTGAAAGTTCGGGTACTTAAATGGACCAAAGCTGATGGTGCTGTTTTGGCTATGTATGCAGGTTGTGGTTGCATGGATATGGCTCAGCAATTGTTCGATCATGTGACACCCATTTGTGAGTGTGCTTTATGCTTGTAGCGAAGCTCATGATTTTGCACCCATGATTCCTCCGAAACATTTAAGCCAAAAAAAGAGGCAAGATTAGCGAAAGAAGGGGCAATATCTAAGGGAAAGGCACGCAGTAGGATAGAATCGAAATGAGTTGCAGATACGAACTGAAACAGGCAGACGAGTGTTGTTGAAAGTTGGACGAGCTGGTTATCGAGTTGAAGCTGCTTGGTTTATGCTCCTAATACCCACACTTTGCTGCATGATTTAGGAGAGGAAGATTGTTGTCGATGACAGGATCTGTTGCTTACTCATATGTAGAACCTGATCCCAGATGCCATCGGTTGACCGATAAGATTATGCATATGGAACCTCTAAAAACCGATTATAAGGTCGATGTATCGATAACTTGTTTAGTGAATCACATTGAACATGATCGAATTAGTTCCCTAACCGGTTGAGTATGCCGCTTAGGATACTTCAATTTGGTTGTTGAAGATTTTTCTCAGACGTGTTTTCCAAGAAACATGTGAAAGTGTTGCATCTGTTAACATCGATCGCCTAATGCAGGGGGAAATGCAAATATGTTCGAATCGAAGTCGAGATCTTTGAGGTAAGGAAAGAACAGAAAATCAGAGGAAGAAGCCTCCATTGAAACAACATTCACCTGCACAAGACAAGTTGTAAAAGGTAAAGCTACCAATATTATTCCATCCAAGGTAAAGGCCTTTCCTCCCTTCCATCTTTAGTACAGTTTTGTGGTAGCTGATCTTGTTACCTTCTTAGAGGAAGAAGGTGAATTATCCCCGACCTTCTCAGCAACTGCCTCATACCGTCCGCCACTCGAACGGCCGGATTCGATCTGAATGTGCTGCAAAACGACATGTGAGCTTCGACGGCTTCTTCGACGCCGAATTGCTTCTTCTTGCTCCTACTCACTTCATCTCGAACGGCTTCCGAGCACAACCCGCAGAGCCATTTCCCGTCGAATTTGGCCTTAACATCATTGATGTAATCTTGGGTGCAATCTTCTTTCAGTCCACAACACTCGCATCTAACCGATTCGATTTCCATTTTTTCCTTTGCTTGTTGAAGAAGGATATGGAGTCGACTCTTGTTTTCTTTCTTGCAGGTTATAAAAACAAAGTGTGTGATGGAATGTTAACGATGTTTTTATAGTTGGATTTGATTTTAGTCAAAGGTTTCCTTTTCTCTGTTGGGACAAGAAGTGTATGAACATGTCTGGTAAGTGCATGAGAGGTAGCTTTATGATTAAGCCTGGAAGAGAAGCGGACTTGGAGTTTAGCTGATAGGTTCCATTATTTACTCCATGTTCTAAGGGACAAGGCCAAGTGGAATTTGTGACAATTTGGTCCGGCAGGGGGGACCTAGCCATAGTGGTCCTTTCTAGCATTAAAAACTACGCCTAGTCCCTGTAATTTAAAAAGATAACGTGTCCCTTGTTTTATTTTAATTTTTAATGTAATTTTTCAACTCAGAAAATAAGTTAATATAATACTTTGATTAACGTTTATTATTATTGACCGTTACAATAGTGAAATGACAGTCAATAGTAGTAATATGGCGGTCCACGATGTTGATGTGGCGGTCCACGGTGTTAATGTGGCCGTCCATGGTGATTAATAATTTAACCGATAACATAAGATATGGGTTAAATTGATAATTCAAATATGGTAGATGAATTGCAACGTTAATATCGTGGACTGACACGTCAGAACCATAAACTTTCACATCAGAAATGAAATGGTCAAACGACGAAAAAAATTTAGTCGAAATGCCACATTAGATTTATTTTATGGAAAAAATATAATTATTTGTATAAATGGTCAATCGTACACTTCTAAAAAATGAAATTTATTTATTTTCAGGTTAAATAAATATAATTATTTGTATAAATGATAAAATATGAAATGACACATGTAGGTAATGAATATACCCTAAAATCTAAATTTTAAACCCTAAAAATAATAAAATAATATCAACTATAGTTTGATTTAGTAAGATGAGATGTTGGGTCTATAAGAGAAACTCGTTAATTTGAATCTCGAAGTTATGAATAAAAAAAATGAATTGAAAGAGTCGTTCTCGAACTTATGTAGTATTTACTCCGGATTAGCAAATTATATATTAGCGGTTAAAAAAGTGAAAATCACATGTTATTGTGGGTTTCAAGGGCTTTGTGCCCTAAACAAGGTCCTAAGTTGTTTTCATAGTACACCAATTATTATTCTTCTAAAGCACACTTAATCATAGCGGAAGTATTGTTAACTTATGGCTTTTAGTATGAATATAAAGAAAATAATTGCCCATCATAATATATGTATATGCAATTAACCAAGTTGACTATTAGTCTTTAATATTTAGTCAAGAGATTAGTGTTTAATTAAGTTGGTTCAATTATCAATTATGGTTTAATTAAGTTTGTGGAGTATTTTTTTTCATAATAACTCAAATATTTTATATGATACTTTAATTATTCATAATTTTCTAAATTTTAAATTAAAAAATATTGTTCGAACCCAAATCTTCTATCAACAATAATTACACTCTGAATCTATCAGGGATGATCGAGGGGGGACGGATAGGGCCAATCGTCCCCTGAAATTTTAAAATTACATTTTATTTTATATTTTTTCTATGTATTTTCTATTGAAAATTTATTTTCATATTCTAAAATTTTATAAGTTCAAGTTTATCCGTCACGTAAAATCTTATGTCTGAAATTCATGGAAAGTGATTAATTAGATCTTTGATCACTCACCACTTGGTTGGATTTGGGAGATCTTGCTTGATGATTTCAAATAAAGAAATGGCCCATGCATATAATGAGAGGTAGACCATTCAATGGGCTATCATCTCACTTGATTTTGATTTATCAACAGACGAGGCATCATCAATTCTACGATTTCAGTCCCTAATATCGGAATACAAATAAAATTGAATATATTAATTAATTTTTTCCTCTAAGTTATTAGGATTTTGCCTTAATTGATCTGGATTCACCCGTCGTATATCTGAATTTAAATATAATTTTTTAAATATATATTATCTTATAATTATCATGACTATTTAATAAAACAAGAACATCTTTAAATATAATTGTTTTGGGTAAAGTACACAAATGATCATCGACTATAGGATATTATTTTATTAAATTTATTGACTATTAAAAGTTATAAAATAGTTTTTCGACTATATAGTATTATTTTTGTTGAGTTCCACGACTATTAAAAATTACAAAATGGTCATCCTGACTATTTATTATGTTCGAAACCTATATTTTTCCGTTAAAAATAACCATATTATAAGCTGAAAGTTAGCTTGCTGACTGTGATATGACTATCAGTCTATCACATCTCATTTATCATGTTAACGTTCAACTTTGACAATCGTCAATTTTTTGACAGAAAATGACGAGTTTAGAACATAATGAATAGTCGAGTGATTATTTTGTAATTTTTAATAGTTAAGAGACTCAACAAATTAATATTCTATAGTCGAAAGATTATTTTGTAACTTTTAATAATCGATAGGATTAAAAAAATAATATATATGATCGGAATCATTTATATACTTTTTCCTATAAAAGAATCTTCAAACCTTATCCATAACAAAATGGAGTGGAAAAGGGAAAAGGTTTAGCCCTTTTTGGTGCAAGGATTCACGTGTTTGTAGAAACTTTAAACCTGAATTCCAATGGGTAATGATGGCGTATTTTAGCCAGTTTTTTAAGCAAGAATTCAACACACGAATCTTATACACATGGGTGGTTACAATCATCCATTTTATTTGGCATTATTTCTGGCTTTATCATAATACGAACTTGATTCGATCCGACTCGTCTCTTGTCATTTAAAAATATACATCAAGAGATATAAATTTGATACGACCCACCTCATGTCCATCTCTACCCTACCCATAGACCAGTATTGTTTTCATTTCATTTAAAAATATACATCAAGAGATATAAATCTAATCCGATCCGCCTCGTGTCCATCCCTACCCTATCATGGACCAGTTTTGTCAACTTAAGGTACCGGCTAACAACCAATGTCCAGCTGACCCCATGTGAACTACTAAACACCAGTCAAACATTGTCCTAAAAGCAACAAGACCATGCTCTCTAGCCATGGAATTTATATCGTCTCCACGTGACTATTAAATTGTTATCTTTAAGTTTTAATATCGTTCATTAATAATATTTATCTCAAGCATTTATGATCATGTCCGCATCGTATACAATCACAATTATTAATATTATGATATATATCCGGAATCACAATTTAAATGCGGGTTTCATATAGTTTAGGGGTTCACAGACAGGACATGGCCAAGCACATGGTGTTGCTGAGGGAACAGTAACCCTAACATGCAAGTACTTGCCCAGTAGACGTCCAGCAATTCCAATGGCCACCACGGTGTTCCCATTAAATGTCCCGATGCGCACCAACCGTTTCCGTCGAGTAATATATGGACAAATACGATCATACGATATAAATATGATATTAATCTTTTTAAAAAGATCATATAAATGTATCATGCAAACTTATTTGATATGAAAACGATGTAAAGATTAAACTCCACAATCATATTTTATGTGAATCCTAAACTCTGAATTATAATCTTAAACAAAATAATAATATTCAAATAGATAAAATTATCGAGTGTGAATCAAATATTCAATTTTTAGGACGTGACAATAACATCATTAAACGATTTAAAGTCCGATTGAGGCGTCATGATACATTTATGTAACTGCATTTGTAGAGCAGACATGGCATTTATCATTTGGTGATACTCTTGCAACGTGTTCTCATTGAAATTCTTGGTTTCTTTGAAGGTCTTGTTTCATATTTAATGTCAGATATTGTACTAAAATTGGATATGATAATGAAATGTCAAGGACCAAGAAATTGGATTTAAATGAATTTTGATAGTTTTAGATGAAAAAAAAATAAAAATATTAAAGAATTAATCAACGGGTTAGTTTATATGATAAGTAGTTTGATATCGCTTAAGCAGGTCTTGAGTTTGAGTTCTCGTGTAGAATCTTTATGAAAACTATCCTGCATGTTTAGATAATAGCCAATCGGATTCAACAAACTCTCCACCGGAACCTGCAGTAGACACCGCCAAATTCATCGGTCGAACAAATGATGTTTTCTTCTGCGACAAATCAGATTTACAAGCACATCACTTGGTTCCTACTTGGAAAGATGAGTTTTCTGCTAAGTAGTGTAGATTTCCCTACTTGTTTTCTCTGTTGCTCAGTCAAAGACTTTGTTTCCGTACATGCAAATTAAACATCCGTAATGAGAACAAACTAAGGATGAAGTCTTTAAGCTGAAGGGACTGCAGCATCCTTGACAGATTCACGCCAAGCGTACTCCCTCGCACCATCTTTGTCAACGATCTTGATAACAAAGTTCGGAGGTGCAACAACAAGTCGTGACCTTATCTCCATTATGCATTTATCAACCAAGTCGATGGCTTCCTCCACGGTCATGTTGCTGTGGTAGTGCCTGTCCATCATTGAAAGGAAAAAATAGGATCCATACCCAAATGCTCCCTTATCAACTTTGTGAAGTGTGGCAATGTAGTCGATGTAGTAAAGCGAGGGGCCTGTCTCATTGTCGTAGCCCGCAAGAAGAATGTTCACGGAGTACGGATTCTGGGGGAAAAAAACAAATGCCACTGTTAAAAATAATAGTAACAAGTCAATGCACAATCTAAAAGACCAAAAAGTGCATTGAACACCAGGCATGGCAGCTGCAAAGATAAAGTGACCAAGACATGATAAGAACTGCATATGTCAAGAGTCATCATTGGAACCCCTAAAGAAAACAAAATCTTGTACTTGTAAATTCAAAATTCCTTGGCTCGACCCCTGAGCTTCCAATCTAAAACAACAGTTAATCCATACAGCTTGACAAGATTTTCTATCAGATACTACACCATTGAAATGAGGCATCGATGCATTACATGGTGATAGGTTTAAGCCATAAAACCATTAACTCCACGTTGAACCATATAACAAGCTTACATGGTATATTAACTTTCCAGCTCAAATGATTTAGTTTAAGCAAAACACAGGTGAC